ATATGAGTAATAATAGAGTTGGAACGGTCTCACCCACTACAAGGTTGACACATTAAAACACATACTCAATCCACCTTTCAATCCCAAGAATCTAGGATCTCCGGTTAGGGCTTTCAGCCACTGTACCAAAAACAATAGTCAATAATGATTTTTCAGAAAAATATTCAATAAGAAATATCAGTTAACGTGGATTAAAGAAATGATCCTCTTGGAGAAAAACAGTGGCTCGAAGTCCCAAAAGCCCTAAAGCTCTGATACTAGATTTGTTGGGAATTTAACCGTTCTTTTGTGTGCTCTTGTGAAATATAGCCAATCATTCACAGGAAAAAGTAAAGAACGCAATAACTTGTTCACCCGGTTCGACCAAAATGCCTAATCTGGGGGCTCAAACCACGGACCAAACCCGACACACCAAAGGCCAAACAACTAGCCAAAGTTACTATAGTAAGAAGAGTTTCATATGATACTTCTAAAATTACAATAATCTCATGAAAAACCACAAGAATCAGAACCAAAAAAAGGGTTGAAGAAGAAAATCTCACGAAAAGCCAGAGAGAGAAAACACAGGAGCCCAAAAGTCTCTTTTTTCCACCGACTGAAAACGTTCCAAATCAGAGACCCATCAAATACCATAGTAAGTGCATCAGAATTATTCTCAACCGTTGATCCATAATAAATGGCCAGGATGAGAGTTAAAGAAACACAACTCGCGTGAAGCTCTATGGGCCAATTGGGGGTTGCCACTTGGGCCATCCATGTCCAAAAGACCGTTTTGCCCTTACTAAAGTTGTAGATTTGAGAAATATGATTATACATATAGGTACACTCATATGGAAAGATTGAACAACCCTTCTCCTTGTGTATAGAATACAAATATAAGATATATTTAAAAATATATATGTATAGGTTATCTGAATGGATGTGTTCTTCAATTTCTTCAACCCTTTTTATAATATACGCAATTTAGATAATTTATTAGCCACCTCATTGATAAATGATATAATTATATAAATAATACAAATAATAATACTATGTGTTTAAACATAAATGTAATTACAAGAATTAAATTTTAATTAAAAATAATAATCGCGTGTGTGCGCGCATATAATTATATAAATAATACAAATAATAATATTATGAGTCAAAACATAAATGTAATTACAAGAATTAAATTTTAATTAAAAATAATAATCGCGTGTGTGCGCGCATATAATTATATAAATAATACAAATAATAATATTATGAGTCAAAACATAAATGTAATTACAAGAATTAAATTTTAATTAAGAATAATAATCGTGTGTGTGTGTATATTTTAAAATATTAATCAAATAAAATAATTGGAGGCTTAAATGTGTCTATGAACGTAAATGTGTACATGATATCTTTTCATAACCAAATTGGAAATAATCCATCGACCGTCCTTCAAATAGGGATGGCAAAAAGTCAAATTTGATACCCACAGGCCTTGTCCCGGACTGAGCGGGAATTATCCGCTTATTCGGATAATCAAGTCGAGTACGGGTTACGGGGGTCCCGCACCACCCGTTTAATTTTAATTTTTTTTTTAAGAATTCAATATTTTAAATGAAAAAAACTCCACAAAATTTCATTAATTCCATTAGAAAATGGCAACAAATATTATCTAAAGAATGTGATAAACAATAAAAACCTTGGTTAACTAAATATATTTGAATAATTTAACTTTTAAAAATAAATAAATTAATTAAAAGATAGCCACACCACCTTGCCCTGCGCGCCTTTAACCCGTAACACCGTCCTGTTGCCAACCATACATTGAAATGGAAGATATGGCGTACATGATTCTATCAAATTTTCACTTTTTGAGGCATTCGAGTATCATTTTTATTTGGAGAAAAAAAAGGGGAAAAAATGGAAAGGAAATCTTTTTTCAGTTTCCAAAACACAGGTTCAGATGATATGTGAACTCGGAATAAAGCTTCATAATCAATGCCATTTATGTACAACAAGCAAATATACTTTCATTACAAAACTGCTATTTTTAGAGTCTTCAATCCGAATAAAATGATTTCTGTGGATAGGATTGCATGATCGTGACACAAGACATTGATTGAAGAGAGCGTTATACTTTCATTACAAAACAAAATGTTCATAAACACGTCATTCCAATAATGGAATAGGAGGATAGCAAATAATTTGATACACCTTTGACCTTTTGAACAAATTCATTTCACTTGTGGTGATGGTTGAATGAAAATGACTAGTAGATGTTAATCAACTGAGTCTGTGTCGGACACTTACGTCCATTGTAAATTTAATAAACAAATCAATTGTGCACTTCTGACGTGACTAAAGGAAACATTGATGTTAGGAAATTGCTGTTTGTACAGCCCGAGCTTCATAGCTCGGGCTACAGCCCCCTCACAAGTGGGGGGGACTCGCAAATTTTTTATTGTGCATGAACCCTCTAAAGTGTGAGAGAGTTGTAAATGATGTTGTGCACCGTACTGTGTGCACAGAATAGGAAATTGATGCTGCAAACTTCTTATGGAATATGGTGCACGGAGGACTTCTCATCTGAAATTTCCTAGTATTTTTTTTTTAAATTAATCAAATTGAAAACGTGATTCTGTGCTAACTTTATATTTAAACATAAATTACGTTAATAAAGAGACGGAGTCAGAGTGAGACTCATATTTTTCTAAAGTGGAAAAATATTATGGAAAAAATTCCAAAATTTCCACATAGAAACGTAATTTTCGAAATTGGACAATCCGCAGTGCCGTGCACTTAAATATCTCAATAATTTAGAAGATATTTTGTCTCTTTGTCTTTAATTTAATGGTTGTTGCTGCAAATATTGCCACGACAAGAAACCGAATGGTTGAAATTAGAATTAAAATTATATTTATCAGAAACTAAGGTCTCATTTTTAGAACATTGTTTATAATGTAATAATATTGTAATGGTTGATGACTAGGTTTCAATACCAGTTGTATATATACATCTATGACTTTTATTTGTCACGAAGTATGAACAATTTGTACGTTGCATAAATGCATTCCTCAAAAATATCATTTTTCACTCCAAATTCTCAAACAAACACTTGAAATGCCTCGAAAGATAGTGACTCGTTTAAATAGACAAATCTTGAATTTTGTGTTATCGTTTGAATTGCCTTCTCCGGTGAACGTTTTTAAAGTTAATCAGATTATAGTCTTATCCGAGTTGCATTCTTTAAAAAAAAAATGCATTCTTAAACAATGATTTGATATCATTTCTACCACATATTCTTCAACAAAATAATATTACACACAAATTCAAAACTTTCCTTCATTTTTTAATCACACATTTTCCATCAATCTACTATCTCAAAATACATTATTTCAAAACAAAGTCACTCAAACACGCACTATATGTGAACTCAGAGTAAAGCCTTGTGATCAACCTTGGCATGTACATCAAGCAAATATACTTTCATTACAAAACCGCTAAGTTTATGGCATCTTTCGTCCGAACAAAATGATTTCTGCACGTGTTCATAAACACGTCATTCCATTAATGGAATAGAATAGCAAATAATTCATTTGACTTGTCGTGATGGTTGGATGAAAATGACTAGGAATCAACTGTGTGGGACAATTTTGAAGTACGTCCATTGTAAATTTAATGGACTGAAAGAAACAGTGATGTTAACAAATCATGTAACAATTATGCTATATAAACATAATTATTGATATAATGTCACATGTTAGCTTATCAATGAATTATTTAAAACACAACCAACTTTTTTAACCAATCACATCTTGTCGACACCTATTATGCCAACCATTATATCATCTACTTTTTGGCAAAGTAGCATTATTCATTATTGATGGATAATTGCCTCAAAAGTCAAAAACTAAAGGACTTCTATAGCAAATAATAAAATGTAGTTATTGTATGGAAAACTTCTAATTAAAGTTGAGAGCAATATCCTTATAGAACTTGGTCTCCAGTTTACAACCGATTTTTGAGTATTTCACATGAAGGAATCCTTGTTGAGTTAAAAAGAGTCTTGTTTTAGTTTAAATCAAACTCTTCTACTTGATTATTTATTCTATAAATAGTGGATGTAATTCATTATTTTAGGTATGGCTTGAGAGTTATCTGAGAGAAAAATATTATGAGCTTAGCATCTTGAGAGTTTTCGTACAAATGGTAGAAAAGTGGGTGTGATAAAACTTTTATTGGAGTTTATTTTTCTTTGTAATACTTGAGAATTGAGTTGGTGAGTGAAATTCTATATGGTTGTAATAATTTTCATATAGTGAAAAGTTTTGACGGTCCGTTTAATTTGTGCGTTATATTTCTTTATTTTTCCTATTTGCTAATATTCTCTTGAACAACAAAAGATCCCACAGTTAAATAGAAATAAAAGGAATTGACGTAAAATTCCCAACAATCATGTAATTGGAAATTGATGCTACAAGCTTCTTACACATATTGCACGGGGGATTTGATTATGGATTGTAATAATTAAACATAAAAAGGGAGAATACATATAAGTATAAATGGATTCTTCATATGTTGAGTTTTGCTAGAAATCCCGGGCCACATAGGCATTCCTCAAATCTCCACGTGGAATAAACATGTTCCTCAAAAATATCATTTTTCATTCCAGATTCTCAAATAAACACTTAACATGTTTCGAGAGATGGTGATTCGATTGAGTAGACAAATTTTGAATATCGTGTTATCGTTTGAATTTTAATCAAATGAGATTGCTCATTTAAGATTAATGAATCTTGATTATTATTTTATTTATTATTATTTTTTTTAATCCAATGTGGGGAGGTTGGGGCACAATAATAGGGTCTATAAAATGAAATTAATTTCAAAACCTTGTGATCTTTAGATTAGCGAATAAAGCTACTTGGGTCCACAGATTTGTGGTTGTAAAAAGCACACGTAATATTCGTTACCATTTAGTTGTTACGTGTTCGGTATACCTATAAATTCATACATAAATTGACAGACTCCTCGGCAGTTTTAATTCTGGTGTTGATTATAATGAATTCGACAGGGTTGTATGGACTTCTTCTTCTACTACTCTTCAACAACGGAGCGTCACAAGTGATAATCAAAACTCTTCCGGGTTATTCGGGTAATCTTCCATTCAAACTCGAAACCGGGTTAGTTCTTTCATTTATTTATTTATTTATTTTTTTAATATTGGTTCATAGTACTAAACTACTAACAAGATTTTGACTTTATTTTTTATATCTTCAAAATGACTGATAGATACATTGGCGTGGGAGATTTGTATGGACTTCTTCTTCTACTACTCTTCAACAACGGAGCGTCACAAGTGATAATCAAAACTCTTCCGGGTTATTCGGGTAATCTTCCATTCAAACTCGAAACCGGGTTAGTTCCTTCATTTATTTATTTTTTTAATATTGGTTCATAGTACTAAACTACTAACAAGATTTTGACTTTATTTTTTATATCTTCAAAATGACTGATAGATACATTGGCGTGGGAGAAAATGAAGAAGTACAACTCTTCTACTATTTCATTCAGTCCGAAAGCAATCCTGATATGGACCCTCTTTTGCTTTGGTTGAGTGGTGGACCGGGTTGCTCTGCTTTGGTTGCCATCTTTTATGATTTTGGTAATCTCTTTCAATACATATATGTGAATTTTTGGAAAATCTTGAAAGAGTAGGAGATGGAGATGGCGAAAAAAATTTGAAGCACGAATCCAAGAAACCAGGACCAAAAACACAAAAAATGAAGATAACAAAAAATCTGAAAATTGGGGCTTAAACACTTTTAATGTCATAAAAGAAATATTTAACTTCCTTTCAAGTATTTTACTCAGTTTGAGTAAAGCACTATGAAAACCCAAGAAAGGAATAATTATTATTATTATTATTTTTTTTTTGGAAAAATTCTGAATATTTAGTGTTGAAATTGTTGTGCATTTATACACTAATTTGAGGATGTTTATGTTACGTTTCATATCATTTTCATTTCATATTTATAGAGATACAACACTTAAATAATAAAGGGATACAACCATAAATGAAATGGCATCTTTTGAATCCTATCTAATATTTATAGAGATACAACACTAACATATATATGAATACATGTGTGCTCTGATGTTTGGCCAAGAAGCATGTTGGAGCCTTAGAGTTTGTGTTTCGTGATTTGATGGTTTATTAGTTTAAATGGATTTATTTGATATCTTTACTATGAACTCAAAGAAAACTAGTAGAGCAAGTTCGAACACTATATTGGGTATAGCGTGAATTATGATGTATTGTTCTAGAGAAAATACTTGTTATATATCACTATTTATATAATCTTTTACAAATGAATAAGGTATCTCAAAAAGATATTGTTGAAGTTTTTTTTTTTTAATTTGGTTGATGAGATTTTGATCCAATCAAATTTCGTCAAATTATATGTTGGTAAACAAATTTGTAAGTTCTAATTTACATCTAGCACAATCATTGCTCTAATACAGCGCTTGGTGTTTCATTGTATTAGAAAAACATACAAGTATTTTTAAAATAAAAAATTATTTAAAAAATTTTCTTACCTATATGTAAATTGAAAAATTCTACTTGTACATTGTACATAATGGTGTCTATAAACTGATGTGATAATCATCCGGTTGTTGATGTGTAAGTGTGAGATTTGAATTAAATGTTGGATTCAGTGCCACGTGTAATTATAGATACCATTTTATAAACAATTATATACATGTAGCACTTCCCATTTAAATTTACATATAAATAACTTTTTTACTTAGAAGTATTTTTGGCTTATAATTAAATTTAATTATAAGCAATGTTTTGAAAACCGAATCAAATCGACCGATTCAACAAGCGAAATCGAGGACCGGTCTCGAATCTGGTCTAGTCATAATATATTAATCAGAAATGATAAAACCAATAAATAACTCGTTGAACCTACCATTTTAACCAAAAACCGAAAAATTGGTCCCAATTTTCACCAGTTAATAAGTATTTTTTTTCCCAAAAGATTGAAAAAAAAATATCAACTTGATAAATGGGCTCAAGCATTGGCAAGCCCAATTTCGCCTTCCTTCCAATCTAAGTGTTATTTTTGAAACAAAAGAGTCATATAAAGTTTTCATCAACTTCCGATGTGGGATAAGTTGTGTAATCTTTTACAATTTTATATATTTAATAATTGTTCACCTCTTTCAATTAAAGGAATTTTTGCCCCCAAAGCACAAATAATTTCAATTCGTACAAAGCAAATTATTTTAAACACATTAATTGTTAGCTTTTGACGTTTTAAAATAAATTATATGGGATAATAAATCTAATTGGCAAATATTGATTTAAATTTATTTTGAATTTGTAATACTAATTTTTTTTTTTAAAATGTTGTTATAATATTTTATAGTTTGTTGGGGTATTTATTTATTTAATTTTGATATCCGGTTCGATCTCGGGTCAACCTCAGTTTGACCATTTAACTCTTGACCCATTTCCTTTTCCAGGTTGATGTTTGGGTCGGTTTTTAAAACATTGATTGTAAGTAATAAATTTTTTTTAGTTATAAGTAATTTTTTGTTTAAATTTTTTACTACAGGGATTAGATTCAGCAACAGAAGTGCGAATCCATGGCTAGCTTCGATGGATGCAATTTCCCTTGTTTATCTATGATAGGAAATGGAAATTAATAGAACTTTTGCATATATATTTTGGATCTAGGCTCGAGCTTGGCTTCAGCTAAGAGAAAAATTCCCATAGTCCCACTCACTTTTACCCCTTGTTTAATTGTTTTCAATTTACTGTAAAAATATAGTTTTAGCTATCTATTTTTTTTAATAATTTTTTTTTTGGCCCTTTAAAACCGAATAATATATTATTCGTACCTCAAGTTATACTTCATAAATAGAACTTCTATACCAATTGGTGAGATTATGTGTAGGTCCATGCGCTTTTGATGTTGAAAATTTTGATGGAAGCTTACCATCTTTTATCCTAAATCCATATTCATGGACCAAGGTAGAAATATCTCCTTTTTTCTGGATTTTTTAAGTCTTATATGTATCTATGTCTTCCATAGCTTTCTACCTTTATAATATTATTAATAATTTTCAGGTTGCCAATATTATATTCATAGATGCACCTGTTGGTACCGGATTTTCCTATGCAAAAACTTCACAAGGTTACTCTTCCTCAGACAATAAATCAGCAAAAGATATTTTCACATTTCTTAAGAAGGTAAGTCGACATTATTTATCATAGATATTTCAATCATAGGTGGAAATTGAGGCAATAGAAATGATGTTTTATGTTGGAACATGTTAGTAGTCTTACACATTCACAGCTATATGCATTCCCCCAATTTTTTAGGTTAGCGAGATAACAATATATTAAGAATAATGCAATGCAGTGGTTATTGAATCATCCTATGTTTCTCAAAAATCGTCTGTATATTGGGGGTGAATCCTATGGAGGCAAGCTTGTTCCTATGATTGCCATGGAAATATTACGAGGTAGTATACATGAAAAATAAGAAGAGAAACTTACAAGATTCTTGTTTCATATTTTATTATCCACCAATCAAGCTTCATTAATTGTTAATCTTGACTGTAATGCAGGAGACAGAGAAAGACTTCATCCACAAATGTCCTTCCAAGTAATGATTAGTTCACACAAATATACGAATTTCTTCTTATTTATTTGCCAATACTATAAATTATTTTTGTGTTAATGGTTGAGTACTTTTGAAATTGAAACAGGGATACATTATTGGAAATGGATTAACGGATTCAAACATTGATTTTAATGCACGAATTCCATATGCTCATCGCATGGCACTTATATCCGATGAATATTTTGATGTAATCTTTTTTATTCAATTATTTTGATAACAAAATGCTGTATATTGCATCTTATTCTTCTGTAATTACTTGACACAATTTCAGTCAGCAAAAATTAATTGTGATGGGAAATATTACAATCATGATCCAAATAATCTGGAATGTACCAATGCCCTTCAACGGATCCAAGAGGTAACCTTTTGCATCTTATTTTATTTTATTTTATTTTTCATTTCCTTTTAATATTTATTATGGTGGTAAACACAAAATATTGCAGTGTTTAAGTCATATAAACCAACTTCAAATTTTGGATCCAAAATGTGGAAACAAAGCACCAAAACCAGATGATTTTGGATGGGATCAAACATTTTCGAATGACAATTCAATTGACCGCCTCGACCTTCCATCAACGGATCAAGAGTGTCATGTATCTAAGTTAAGACTTACTTTGTCATTGAAGAAAGAACTTTACAAAACTATTTTTGGTAGAAAAGAAGCTTAAAGTAACTTTTTTTAAAGCTTAACCGTGCATGCTCAGTTTCTCACGAATGGGTTTCTTTGTACAGATTCAAAATTATTCAGCATCTAATGCTTGGGCAAATGATCAAACTGTTCAAGAAGCTCTTCATATTAGAAAGGTATGTTTTATTGAGAAAGTTTAAAGATTTAGTATGTGTTACGATGTGCTAGTTGTCAAGAAAATAGTACATATGATCAAAGTGTTTACAGTAACCTCGTAATTTGATCATCAGGGAACAATAACAAGGTGGAGAACATGCTCTGATCTAATATCCTATAATCAAAATGTAGAAAGTGCTCTTGAATATCATAAAGTTTTGATCAAGAAAGGATACCATGTTTTGGTATTCAAGTAAGTTATATTAGTTTCTTTCTTAAATAGAAATCTTGACTTAATTTATTCAAAGTTTAATCTAATCGATCAACTAAATATACATGTTGGTTTAAAATTATTGAAGGAAATTAAAGAAAAAACAGAGCTACACAAATCTGTTAATTTGGTAAATGTTGTCTAATTATGTTTCTTTACTTTCTAGCGGTGATCATGACATGGCTGCACCATATATGGGTCCTTTAAAATGGTTTCGCACTCTCAATCTGACTATTGATGACAATTGGAGACCTTGGCTTGTTAATGGCCAAGTCGCGGGGTTTGTTTCTTGTTCTTGATGATTATTATATATACATACATATATAAATATCGTATGGTACTCTCAAAATTGTAACCTATTCTAACCCTTGTAGATACACAGAGAAGTACAAGAAAAATGACTTCAATCTCACATTTGTAACAGTCAAGGCAAGAAATGTTTAAATATGTCATTTCTTACACTGACTTGAAGAAAAACAAAAACTATACGTGTGTTTTTATTTTACAGGGTGCAGGACATACATCATCAAGTTATAAGCCTAAAGAGTGTCTAACAATGCTCCATCATTGGCTCTCTAGACGTCCTGTATAGGTAGGGGTAGATAGGAATGTTTGGAGTGCATTTGTGCCCCTAATGCATCAATCATTTTGGAAATTACTTCAT